TCAGCTTTTGTGTTGTTACAGTATTCAACATTAGTGATCTCTACTTCTTGTCTAAAGGTTTCAATTAGACAAGCACAACAAAGTTAATATTTGTCAAGCTAAAAATTCAAGAATATGTAAAAAATTGGCTAAACTATCAGCTTGAACAGAAAGTTTCTCTGCACTAATTTTAAAAAATAGTAATTTCTTACTGTCCCGATTATTATGCTCATGATTGTTTTTGAAAAGAGCAAAGCTTGTACTTACAAAGGTATTTCTTACGTTTCCTATCAAGTTCTGACTGCATGAAATTGGAAGAATGAGGTCGTCCAGGCTTTGACGAAATGAAGCAAACCCATTAAAATTCTGAAAGCAGCACGAGAAAATCCAAAATAGCTAGTATCACAGGTTCAAGTCTATGAAAATTCATGATTTTTGAGAATAGTACTGAAAAAATCAATTGAAAAATCAATTTTTCTGTTTTCTGCTGTTTGGCATTTATGTCGAGGATCATTACTTTTGATAGAAAGGCTCGATCGGCACAAACTTGACACGGTCGGAAAGAGGAAGTCCAAAAACCTACTACCAATTACTTTAAATTTACTGGATCTTAGATTTGGTATGGGAGCTTCAAATCACCAAAGCTTGGATAATATCATTCTACCTCTGTAGTCAGAACTTAGTAGGAAAACGTACAACGCACCCAAGAAAATACAAGAGTGTTGAAAGAATAAATAACTATATTACATAATTATATTGAACAAATTTATTACCCTATTTTCACGATCCCCCGCATCGTATACTCGCGAAATTAGGGTAGTAGCAATGACGTTTTGAAAATGGTGCAAACGAACTTTGGTTCAACCTAATAGATTTTCAAAACATTTGAGTAATAAGCACATACACAAAACATTCTTTGGTTTCTATTGTACTTACAATTAGGGCACTTTTCCATTTCATCTACAACGAAATGGTACTTGTAAAATAGCACATGTTGTAATTACAATGGAATAGTTCTATTTCGCCTCAAAGCCGAACGCACGTGCCAGTTCAAAGTATTTTTACATGACCATCCAGTCTTGTGAATGACCCGCTTACAGATATTTCCGCTATAGCTTGGATTTCTAATTTCCAACCTGTGTTCCACCACAACACCGCAATAACACGGGGTTTGCTTTACATCGGTAGGAAACAAATCTCGTCTAAAGAATTTTTTAGAAAACGGCTTTCACAAACTACACTGCCTGAAAAAAGCTGAAAATCCAACGGCAGTGTTTAAAATGTACAGGAGGAGATCTACTAGGATTCGTACAGAAATGAAATTTGTCCGTCATAAACTTTGAAATGAGCTCTTCTAGTGCTTTTGACCTATGTATAAAAAGCCATGTCTTCAAGCAGAATTGCAAAGCTACATGTATTGGAAGCTAGAAAAGTAAGCTTTTCAGATGGACTCCAAGTTTGCTATGAAGGCATTCAGCATTATGATTCAGGCATTTGCAAATTAGTAATACTTTACTTATGCTTAGAGTCATCTACTCACTGTGGTTATGGAGCTTTACAGCGACCAGACTGAAGCTGTAGAAGCCATGACTGTCGCAAAGTTTTAACAACGTCGAAAAGAATGCTTTGAGCACCGTAGCTAATTTGTGAAAAAAACTTCTCCTTTCCTTTTCTTGAGTTAGCGTGACTTTATCATTTTGCAAGGAGTGTCTTGAAAAAACTAACAATGTTTCGATTAGCGAACAGATGCAGTTTTGCATAATTAAATTGTGCAAGTTTGCAAGTGCTTTAAGTAACCATGAAAAACTCACCGAAAAGTCTTTTTCTATCGACTACATTTATCTTCCAGATCTTTAACAACAAGTTGACTATATTTTTGGTTCAAGAAAATATTAGCTGATTCTAGAAAATTAGACAATTACCATATGGAAAAATGGCTTTTTCGCGACATTTTTTTGTTTTCTTTTTGGCGCGCCTTGTTACATAAGTATATAAGTAAACAAATGAATAAATATTTCAGGAAAAACAGCGCAAAAATTCTTGGAATATAAAAAGGCTATACGAAGCAAAAATGTGTCTCAGTATAATAGCTACTGGCTCCTCATTGGCAAGCTCAGAACTTTTTCTGGAATTTTTTTATTACTAGCCAAAGACTAATGGCCACAAAATCTTTTTAAGAAGCCCTCGGATCGAAATTAACTGATCGGTCACCAAATCTTTGCAACAAATGACGTCTATTATAGCCGTTGTGCAAATGGCAGGTGAGGCGGGGGAGGGAGTTCGCGCAAAGAATGCCCTATTCCTAGAACTAGCAAACATTCTTGTCTCCGATTCATAAATGCTGCACGAACAGACTTCTAGCGATTTTCGATCTACGTCCCAGACAACATCCGCAGAGGCTATTTATCTCACGCATCCATTGAAAGTTTGAATTTGCAACGATAGACAGCCGGGTTCGGCGCCAGGCGCTTATGCGCGGTCGCGCGGGGGTCGAATATCACTGCGAATTAGGTTGAAATTCCTTGACCAAACAAAGCCGCCGGGTGCTCGCAATTTTTGCTCCAAGCGCAGAATTCCCATTAGAGCCCCGAGCCGGGGGGGGGGGGGGAGTGATGCTTCGTTTGTGATGACGCGCGACAAATAACACACAGGATCGAGCGTTCGGAGATGAGAGATTGAATTAATGTCCGTTGCTGCTTGCATGGAGCAGATTCGCGACATTCGGCCTTTGTTATGACATCGCTTACGTCAGAGGTGTGTGGTTCCGGATTTGGAATGAGTTTTTTGGTCACGATGAGCGGGTGAAATCACAACGGAAGCAGTTGCTGGCCGCATTGAAAATGACGTGGTAAATGCTGCTCAGGAAATTTTGGTGGGGCTGAGGGAGGAGTCTGGTCAAAAAATGACAAGTTTTCGAAAAATTGTAGGATTTACGAGCTAATAACCAACAGTATAACAAACTCGCAACTTCTTGGATTTTTTAGATGGTGAAGTATGATTTAATTGAAGTTTTGCACAATATTAAAATTTTATGGAGTTGGTAGAGTGAAAGAGTGCTAAGAAAAGCTCCTTTAACCAGCGAGTAAAGTTCTATCCTCAGGGTTCTATGGATACATCACTGCCAAATTTGGAGGATGGTGGCTGGTTTCTATAGATAGCAGATGGTAAGTAATCTTGGATAAAGTGCAATTTACGGGCTTGAAAAAATTGGAACGCTAAATTGAAGCCTTATCATAGTATCAGTGATCCGCTTCATCTTATGCAGTTGTTCTCGAGTGTTGCTAATGCGTTCACCTTTTTAGTAATTTTCCGCGAGCGCTCGGTTAACATTTGGCCAGGGCTCTGAGGTGGCTTGTAAGCAAGCTGATTATCGTTTTTGGGAAAAAAGCGAAGGGGGCATCGTTTTTGAGGCCGGAAAAACTCAAGAATTGCAAAGCTTTTTTTTTCAGTTGACGTTCCGTTTTTTTTATGTTTTTTTACGTTTAGGGTTTAGAGTCAAAGTGGAAAAGTTCGCGAAAGTCAAGAGGGACTTCGTTTTTTTCCATTTTGCAAAAAGCCACCTCGTGAAAAGCCCTGCTTTTAGCTTTGACCTTCAACAGACAAGGATAGAAGAGAAGGAGTTATAGAAGAAACCGTAATTGGTTCGCCGGTGATTTCCTGCACGGAAGTCAAAAGCGGATCCAGCGAAGCCCGATCCAACGCACAATCTTTGAAGCTTGTAGCTGGCAAGCAGAAGTCATGGCTCATTGTCTATGGGGCGTATCTCAAAGTACGTACACATCCAAGAAACCCTTAAGTAAAATAATCACGTTTTTGCATTTTTGTAGACTCTTGAGTACGGATTAGTACAAATACAACTGTTGTTCCCGAGTGCTGCAAATTTGCTTATCTCTATTGTATTCTAGCATGTGGCCCTACCAAGAACGCGAAGTCCCACCTTGAAAGGACAAAAGCAAACTTTTTATCTCATAGAATGGTGGCAATCAGCACTGTATTATTTGCAGAAAATCTTTTCTTTCTGTTTATATTTTGAACAATAAGAGAGGAGAAAGTCAAGGAGCCATACCCATTACTCACTATGTACATGGCCAGGTGGCTTGAACGGCTTTTAGGGGGTGCTAGAGTTCAGTACCCGAAGCAAATGCACATCTGCATTGTTCTTCATTTTACAATAAGTTGGTTTAATTTTTTTATCGCAGGAACAAAGGGGGAGACATGAAATTTGAATGAAGAACAACGCAAGATATTCACATAGTTTCAAATTTTCGCTTTTGATTGCTTACAAGGAAGTTTCTAACATTGCAAGTTCTGTTTATACTCTGGTAGTTGCAAAGTTCCTCAAGCACTCTTCAATGACCATCATTTAACTAATTCATATTCATGGGATCTCAATAAGTCTGTGCGAATCTCAGTTGCGAGGAGTAAATTCGGCTGCGGTTTGCAGAAGTTCATAGGGCCATGGTGCATTCGCGGCAGATTACTTATTCAACATAAAAAAGTTCTTAACATTAAATTTCAACTTCAAAGCGCCCAGACGGAATCAGGTGGGCTTCAAAAACAAGCAAAGGAGTAGCTAATCTTGAGAGGTCCACGGTTACAGTAGCGAGGAGTGAGCGAGCTAAACATTCACAATGCCTTATTTTCCTCAGGTTCAGGTGGTAAAACAGCTCCTTAATGCAGAGTTCTTCTTCGTACATTGTTTAAGATTCAACAAATCTAAATGCTTTATTCTTCACTGAAAATGCGTAGTTCTGAGTGTAGGTTTCTTAGACTGAACGCCATGTACATGCGCTCTTCAGTTCGGGTTATAACATGAGGTTGTCCCATAGGTCTTTTCATACCGGCAAAAATCAGCTAACCTCATTTCTTCAAACAAGAGCTTGAGCGATTACCCTATTTTCCGGCTTATAAGCCGCACCTTATATAAGCCGCACCCGCCGCAGCGAACAATGGCGCGAAAGCGCCTTTGAAAAGAGTTATGCAGCAAATTGAAAACTCGGTACGCTCTAGTACGGATAATCATGTCTTCAGGTATGTTTTTTTACTCCTTTAGAAGTGTGTGTGCTAATTTTGGTGTCATAGGTGGGAGGAAGTCCTATACAGCCGAATTTGAACTGAAAGCAGTAGATTATGCTGCCGAGAATGGAACCGGCCAGGCTTCCCAAAAATTTGGTGTCGATCGCAGAATGATACAAAGATGGCGAAGTGATCAGGAGAAGCTCAGAAAGTGCGAAAGAAAGAAGAGAGCGTTTTGAGGACCCCCACCAAAATGGCCAGCATTGGAAGAAGAGCTGAGTGACTGGATTATCGAGCAACGTGAACGAGGAAGGCGAGTTACAACCGTAAGATTGAGGGCCAAAGCTATTGAGGCAGCACAAAGGCTTGGATACGAAGACTTCACTGGTGGTGCTCACTGGTGCCATAGTTTCATGAAAAGAAAGGGATTCTCCGTCAGACAGCGCACCAGCGTTGGCCAGCCACTCCCTCCAGATGCCGAAGCCAAGATGGCTAACTTCAGAAAGTTCGTGATGGACAACACGATGAATGTGAATCCAGCAAACTTAGGAAACTTTGATGAGGTACCCGTTCCCTACGATGTAGCCGGCAACAGAACAGTCGAAATAACAGGCAAGGATGACGTGGCGATCACTACAACGGGTCATGAGAAGAAAAATTTGACAGTTGTACTGGCTGTCACTGCTGACGGTAACAAGCTCAAACCAATGCTGATTTTCAAAAGGCTTACGATGCCAAAAGTGAGATTTCCAGAGGGTGTTGTCATCAAAGTGAACCAGAAAGGGTGGATGACAGAAGCGATTATGAAGGACTGGATCAGAGAGTGCTGGCTGACAAGGCCCAATGCGGCGCAAGAACCTAGCCGCTCAATGCTCATTTTCGACTCCGCTAGATCTCACCTGTCCGACGAAGTCAAAACTGAGATTGAAAGCGTTTCCAAGATCGCGGTTATCCCAGGAGGCTTGACAAAATTTCTGCAACCACTGGATGTAGCTGTCAACAAACCTTTCAAGGACAATCTGAGGAAGCATTGGGACGCTTGGATGGCTGACAGTAATCAGATGGAGTTGACTAGAGGAGGGAGAAGAAAGCCGCCGCGGTTGGAGTTGATTGCCGAATGGGTGCTCCAGAGTTTCCGAGATGTCAGCGTTGATTCCATCCTCAATGGATCCAACGAAGCCTTGACAATAGATCCCGACATAGATGATCTCGATAATAGCTTCTCGTCAATGCATCTTGATGATAGTGAGAGTGCTTAGATGTTTTTCTTGTTTCATATGACTTTGCGGGTGTTTAGGTTGCGTTTTCTTTCCTAAATGATACTGGTGGTTGACTGTGCTTTCCTTTCTTCAATGAACTTACTGGTGCTGAAGTTGTGCTTTCTTTTATTTTGAGTTACAGGTTTGAAGCTTATCAACTTTCGATTCCATGTTATTGCTGGTATTTGAACGTTCTTTCATTGTTCAGCGGATTCTTGAAGAATAAATGAGAAGATAGAGAATTTTGTTAAAAACAGATACACTTGCGAAGAAATTAAATAAAGAACGCAACCAGAAAGCTCGTATAAGATTACCACGCGAAATAGATAGTGATTGCTGTTTGTGCGGTTTCGCGCATCGCGAACGACATCGCATTTCAGCCCGCGCGCGGTGAAAAGAACTGCGGCTTATACGCCGGAAAATAGGGTATTTGGTAGTGCAAAAGCTCTAGAAGATGAATCCATGGAAGAACAGCCCAGCATAGCTTTTACAAAAAACATGCAAATTTTTATTTTCTCGACTTGTAGCAATGGAAAAAACACAGCAATTGTATGTATAAATGTCTGATGTGGAGATTATATGCTAGAACACGTCGTTCGTAGGGTTTTTTGACCAAAAATTTGATTAATTTTCCAATTTTTTGGGCATTTGTTTTTTTTTTGATATCGGACTCAGTTTGTGTGGATCACACGTGGTGTTAATATTTGAACGTCTACTTGTTCAGATTGCTTTTCTCTGTCGAACGAGAAATTTACGAAGAAATGGATTAGCAGTAAAGAATCAAATGAAAAGACTTATGTGACAACCTAATGTTATATGGTAGAGAGAAGGAAATGTCGCAAATTTCACAAATCTCAGTGTTGGTTAGCTTGATTACGCTTGCGATGCTCTTAATAGAGCAAAAGCCACGCTAACCTTTGCCAGCTCTACACTCTGCACAAACAATAGTTATATAATGTCGGTACCATATGCATGGTATAAGCATTTTCTTCGATCAAGCGAAAGCGTATGTTGCATGAAAGAAATCAGCACGAAGTAGCACAAAATCTGGACTTCGATGCCGTTCACATACATATATACCCTAGCGTTAATGAGTAAACTTCCTAAAGCACAAATGAGGTGCAATGAAGCAATGCTGCAAGCGAAAGTATCCCTAATAGTGAGAGAGAGAGAGAGAGAGTTTCATCAACAGCAAAATCATGTAGAATATTTAGAAGATAAAATTGAGTATGACATGACCGTGTCACTATCATATTCAAAGTGAAATTGCTTTGGAGAATTTGTTTCCTTACACGGAAGGATACCTGATCGAAGTAGCGTTTAGAAATGTAAACTATTTTACAGAGCTGGAACGCTGTTTCTACATATGCTCTCGGTATCTGCGAAGATTTTCTGGTAGGGAAGTTATGCTAATTTTCTTCAAGCCGAAAATTCGATGTGCGCTACAGTAAAACCATTCAAACTTGTAGTCTGCAAGCCTAAATGGAGCCACGATTACTGCTATGGCGCTTTATGCGTTTACTACCTCTAAAATATTAAACTTATGCAAGCCATTACTCCTTCCAAGCGACGAAGAGACTTGAAGATAAAAAAGCATGAATGTATTATATCCCATTATATGCTATTGAAAGAGCTGAAAGAATTAATACTGCTTTTGAAAAAAGACATTTGCTGATTGAATGAAAATAAATAAATAAATAAATAAGTGATAAAGTTGCATTTCTGTCCTTTTTTAAAAGCATTTAGCTCTTTCAATAGCATATAATGGGATATAAAACATTCATGCTTTTTGCCTTTCAAGCAATCAAATCCAATAATAAGCTGCTTAATTCATGATCAAATTCATACCTTTTGAAAAGCTGTCAAAAATGTGCAGTTTCAGCAAAAATGAAACACTATCATACAAATCAAATAAGCTGCTGCGCATCACAGATGTTTTAATTTGAAAAAGTTTTACAGCTCAACGCAAATTCAAACACTACCTTGCATTAAATGTGGTCAGCATCAATAATTGATGCAAATAATGTATTAATAGGATGTCAAAGATGATACCAGGAAGTTTTGAGTGAGATGTAAGCTTCGGAAAAAATAAGTTGTTGCAAAGTGATTTGCTTTTCCTTCTCAAAGCTAGCACTGGCTAGCACTTTTAAGAAAAAAAATTCGAAAACGTAGAGTTGAGTGAGCGCAGAATTTCAAAATGAGTAGCTTGATTTCAACTATACAAATTCAGGAATTAAAACGACTGAGCCACCCTACATGACGTATGGGTAATACTGTTAGTTCTTTACCCTTCAAGTCACGTGTGTACGTAGATCTATCAGTTTCATCTGGCGAAATGCCAGTACTATTCCGCCCCAGGCATCTAATCAGCTGATGTGTCAAGCCGTATTTGCTTCCTCATTGGAGCGGATAGAGCAAAGAATAGCGTGTAGCTTAAATAGATAGTTTCATGAGCACGAAGTGCAAAAGAAATGTTCTTTATAGTGATCTATGGAGTGAATCCACTAAATTCCCAGGTACGGATTTAGCGGGATCAAAAGAAACAGAAGATGTAGCCGAAGAAGCATTTGTCTCGATACTATCATATTTCATGAAATGTCACAGCACATACGCTGAAAGCTTCTTTCAGTAGAGCAGGCAAAGGAGAACCGCCCACAAACAAGACTTGTGACTTCCTTCATGTTGTAATATAAAGTAAGAGTAACCGCGTAGATCCAATATCCATATCTTTGTAATATCTTCACACAAATATAGTCAAATTCCATTCCACATGACACCGGCTCTTTCACCCTCACCTGACTTTAAAGTTGCGTTGCTGCTTTCTCACCACTCAAATTTCTATTTTGCAATCATTTGCGAGACCCAATGCGATACCATTGCGATGAACAGGACGTCAATCAAACAAGCACTCATCTGCAGAGCCGCGCTTTCGATGAACTTGCCCAAGCAAAAATCTTGCGTAGACAGAATTTCTAGATTTTTTGTGGGGACTGCTACTAGAAATTCTCAATGATTCACGAATCTAAAGTACAACTTTGGCTCCATCTAGTCAGCAGAGTTGTACCTTAGCATAAGCTCCATCAGAAACTCCAGATCTATTGTTAGAAACCATATGTGAAATGGTGTTTGCTTGAGTCAAAGAAATGCCATCAGCTATGCCCAAGAAGAAGCTGAAAGTTAGATCACAGCAGCATGAGCTAGCCTCACCATTGCTGCAAATTTGTCGAGTTTTTAACGGGATTCCGAGTGATTTGGCGTGATGTGAGTGTATGTTTCACCATCAACAATGCGTCGAACATAGAGGTATCATCTAGATTCTTGACTGCTACTTAGATTTTGTACCCTTATATCCATTTCGTACTCTTTGAGAGCGTCATACAATGAAAACGGTAGACGAAGCAGAATTTAAGTCTGCGAAATTACATAATGAAAACGACTCTGGGTAAGACGGCTACGGATTCATTTTTGGCATTTGTAAAGTCATGTATCAGCTCGCGTGGCAAACCCTTCAATGTTGACACAGAAGTTCACGTGCTTTACAGCACATCTCAAACTCCGAACTTCATATTGAAAGTTAATATGTCGGCCATCCAATCCTACACCGAATCTGATCAACTGAGGCTGTAACACCAATAGGTTTGTGCTCGACATCTTTCACATACGAGTTATGTTCATTACGTTCTCCAGGTGCTAAAAATGAAAAAGGTGGAAACACAGACAGTACCGCGAGCCTAGCGTTCCCATCTCTCCCCTACTCAGGCAGTAGAAGAAAAAATCGAAGTGAAACGCCTACCATCAAAAAGCATTCTTTGTCTATTTTTAGTTCAATTGTCTTTAGTCAAAGTTGGAATCTATTTTTTATCAACATGCTGCTCATACAAAATTGAGTGATTCAACTGAAGGAGGTTCTGCCAATGCGTTGCAGGAAGCAAAAAAGTCGTTTATTATGATCAAAAGTTAGAGCAACTGCTACAAGCTGGATTGCCTATTGAAAGTACAGCAAGCATTACAATCGATCCTAGAACTAAAAAGTACAGAGCCCATAAAATCTATACCACAAGACTCGTGCAAGCAAACAATAACGTGATTTTGAAGACGCTGAATAAACTTAACCATCCTTCTGCTGATTGTGTTGCACGAGCTATCTACAGTCGTGACAGTTAAAGTTTGGGATCCGTCGAAGTCCTCCATAATTTTTCCGTCAGTCAGATTGCATCCAAAACACGTCGATTATATGTAAGACAGATAAGACAGATCTTTTCGATCTCTTTGCGTGATAGTTGGATACAATGTATTTCGACTAGAATTTCCTTCGTTTTGACAATTTATTTTTGCATAGGAGAATGTCATGTCAAAAAAGCATCTTCCATAGTTGCGTCAACTGAGACTTGATGACCGCAATAGTGTTAGCAAAAAACGGTAGTCCCTTTTTGGTTTCTGTAACTGAGCTGCTCAAAGCCGCGGAACTTCGACCTTCTCTGACAGTGGACGTAGACGACAGATCACTGGTATAAGAGATTTATTGCAGAAAAGATGGAGAAGTAGTTAGTAGGTGGTGATTTGCCTCTTCGAGCAGTGTTCATTACTCAACATGTGCCTTTAAAATCATCTCGGTCACTGTCTTACCCTTCTGTGTCGCTCTACCGCTGCTCTTACCAACTAGAAGAAAAACTTAGTCAAGATTCTTTGACAGTGGTGAATCCATTTGAATTCAACAGCTTGTTAACGACAAACCCTTTAAAGAGAGGCATTCAAGTTGATTACAGATTACAGATTTCAGGAGCGGTATGCAACAATCGCCCGTCCGGGTAAGTTACCCGGACAGGTAGTTTCTGCTTCATATCTCGGTGCTCTGGGAATCTGTGTTCTTCCTTGTTTGTTCATCTATTGGAGGCTCTACTACCCTAATATTGTAGCACAATGACTAGCAGCACTTTGCTGTATAAGCTGAGATAAATCGTTATTTGTATGATCCCGAACGGGATCTCCCACTGATAACGCTCATTTTCAAAGCTATTTATATCCGCAAAAAATCGATGAAAACGTCACATAGTTTTGCTGTCGATTTAATACGACAGTCTGCGCATGTTTGCGGAAGAAATAAGTAAAAAATCGCATTGACAAAATTTTCGATGAACCTGTGCTCGCGAGTTGGGCGAAAAACTCAAACTGTAACTGCAATAGCTAATCTTATTCACTGAAAAAATAAGTTACAGTTTGAGTTTTTCGCCCAACTCGCGAGCACAGGTTCATCGAAGATTTTGTCAATTTGATTTTTCACTTATTTCTTTCGCAAACATGCGCAGACTGTCGTATTAAATCGACAGCAGAACTCTGTGACGTTTTCATCGATTTTTTGCGAATATAAATGACTTTGAAAATGAGCGTTATCAGTGGGAGATCCCGTGTGGGATCATACAAATAACGAATTATCTCAGCTTATACAGCAAAGTGCTGCTAGTTATTATGCTACAATATTAGGGTAGTAGAGCCTCCAATAGATGAACAAACAAGGAAGAACACAGATTCCCAGAGCACCGAGATATGAAGCGGAAACTACCTGTCCGGGTAACTTACCCGGACGAGCGATTGTTACATACCGCCCCAGATGTCAAGGCAGAGTTAATGGTGCTCTTGCACTCTTCAACGTGATGCATCTGGGCCCTTTTCATTTGAAACCGAAACTCCTGCTATGCTAAAATTATGCTCCCCTGGCAGGACGAAAAACAAATTTTCCGTAATTTTTGCTCTAGCATTATGCACCAAATTTGATGTACAACGCTTATATGTTCAAAGGAAGTATTCTACGCGAAGAACAGAAAAGTCATTTGAAGGCATTATTTGTTTGTGCAGGTATGCGAACATGTCAGTCCCGCAGCCCTTTTAGTTAGAAGGTGCGGGAGCTTATGAAATTGGCCTGCTCGCAGATCAGCTTCTTTTGTTTTAATAGAACTAAGGGAGCATGAAAGACGGCAGAGACTTGCAAAACCTTTATTTGCAGAAATTTTCTCCGCTAACCACAGCTACACTTCGCTTACTCCTGTCACAAAATAAGTAGTACACGATGTGCTCAAGCTATGTACAGTGTACGATGGGAAATCATTGGATTTGAAGTGCACACTTTGCTTTGTTTTATACATAGTGTTGTCAAGAAATGCACCTTGGCGAGTGCTGACGAAAAGGTTTGATTAATATTGATTCATGACTTTTCTCCCCAAAATAATGGAGTTTGGTACGCTGGTAGGTAAGCCTACTCACATTGAAGAACGTGGTTGAAATTATTGACCACTGTCGATGTACTGTCTGTATTATTTAAAAGTTGAAAGATAATGCTCCCAGACATTCTAGCCAACAGTCATACTCTAATTCAGCACAGCCTCTTGTATTGAGTTGCCCTTCGTCGAAACAAGCTTGGTACTTGTACAAAAACTATTGAATCTCTTGGCATCCGACGGAGTAAAGTTGAGACGAACATGCCAGCAAGCTGTACTATTTGAGTCGTGAAACTATACCACATATGGTGCACTTCGCCCACCGCTTTTTGCCAGCTCTTCTTTTTGCTCTGGGTAACCCAAGATTACCAGAAACAATTACTGCTTTGCTTCACGCAAATTGTACTGACTGAATTGATATGCGACACAAAAAAAACGACAGAATGACTATGATTACAAAACGGTCATACATTGGGTGGTAATTTCTGACTACTTCCTCTGTGCTCAGTTGATGCTAATAAAGTGATAAACAAAATCACTTGCATTTTCTTGGAATCTTATGTGTTTGATAAACATTTAATACCTCAGAGCCTTTTGAAGTCAAAAAAAAGAACAGCCTTCTATCAGCTTTCTAACGTTTGCGATTAATAATGATGCCTAATTACATGCTCCAAGCGATGATATCTTTAGCACTTTCGACTGATTTCTCGATAAAAGAGTTCCGCATAGACAGTAACTTAAGCTGTGTATCACAACGTTTTCTTCTTGCACTATCTTCTCAGAGAGAATGGGAAAAGAAAACGTTGTGGATCAAAGCTTTCTATGAGTAAGGCTGTACGCAGATGTTATGCGTTATCTCAGTTAATGCACTACTAGAATTTATAGTCTCAAAGCAGCAATACGCGAACACGATCCTTATTTACAAAGTTTATCGCCGTCTGAGTCGACATTTTTATTACCATGCTAAATGCAAGACGCCGAGATATTTTTCCAGTGTAACAGTGTTTTATTTGAACTACTGAAAAGGGAATTTGCTTCTATTAATATCGGGCCAAAATCGGCATAGAGTCGACTTGATGATTATTGAAGAGAGCCCCGTACACCTACTGCAGATTCAAAGATTGAATTCAAAATGATGTGTGGACAAGACATTCGGCTTCATGCACTTGCACATTTAGCTAAAGGGTATTCACAAGTTATTATGAGAGTGGCAACGGTCTCAATTTTCAAAATCGAATTCGCTTGGCTGTTGCCTCCTTGCATCTTTCTTTTACATGCTAGCTTTTCCATCCTTTTAGTGATTGTGCTGACCACAGCTGTGACCACAGTTGAGTCTCACGTTCATAAGGGCCTTACAACTGTTACTCAAGCAAGCAGCTGAGTTGAAGAAATGGAAGGATGAACAGAAATTAAATCTTTCATTTAAGGTTTATGCCTTCTTAGGAACATCTTCCTTATCTAATAACCTCAAGAATTCCAACCACTCTTCTGCTTCTTCTTCAAACACTTTCAGAAGTTCCACAGGGGGTGCGAAAGTGCAGACTGCCATTCTATCGTTCTTAGCGCATCCATGTCCCAGTTTCACTCCTTCTCTCCTTATTGCGATACCTAGCTGTAAAAGATTTCTCATCCGCAGATGGTGAAGTTAACTAAGTGGCTTTGATGGATCCACCTACATGCAAAGTTATAAAGCTGTAACCAAGAGTACTCAAAAGGCTCCGAAAAGCCTAAGTTCAGGTCAAAAGAAAATGAGGAAATCAACAGCATTTTAAGTCACTTTTTCTAAATCAAGAGGCAAATAAGGGACTTACAATATATGTTACAAAAGACAATATATGTTACAAAACAAGGATATTCTTACCAGGTCTGACATGATGCCTCCTTTTTCTCCTTCTTTGAAATTTTCTTCTCTCCAAAGTTGTTCAGCAATGTTTGTATCCGATAGTCCGTCTTGACTAAAAAGACAGTGTTTTTAAGGGAAATTACTGATCAAAATTGCATATTTTGATGCACTCACATAGCGGTAAAAGCGTGATATGCTTTAGTGAACGACATCGGCGATGTTTTTCCTTCTAGAATTTTCACTGCCATCCTGATGCACATACAATCGGGGTTTTCATCCTGAAAATAACTCTTCAAAATCTAGCAATTATCATAAAGCCCTCACATATCGATAACTTGGTTAGGAACCAGACTAATATGGTTTCTTCCAGCTAAATGTGCATTGATGTTTTATACGTGCGGAGACTTTTAATGACAAGAAATCTTGAAAACTTCCGCTCTTGAGGAAAGGTTCAACAATTCAAGTTCACTGAAACCGTCATGTGTCTACAATGCACCGTCAACTACTCAGCTGGATTAGGAAATACTAATCTCATTTTCGTTTTGATTAACAAGTTATGAATTGCAGTAGAGCCCACAAACTGACCAGCTTTGCCTTGGTATCATTGTCTTTGTCTATCACTGCATACACCGCACGGTTGAGTTCAGTAAAGTTATTGCATACATCTTTCTTAATATTCTCAATGTCGATTCCAAAGCTCTTCGCCAGATCCTCTTCATCAGACCTGTAAACTTCGAGGTTTAAGCAATTCATCCCTTTTATCCCGTGGGATAGATTTACTTTTCGCTTTCTGCGACACTGCCTTCAGGGTTATCACTATTTTCGGGGTCTTCGCCACCGCCTTCACATCCTAGTACCACACCTCCATCACCATCATCACCATCTTCCGCTTTGACAGTAACAAGCACCTGTTATGGCGGAATTTGGACATAAAAACAGTGAGATAAAATTCTTATAAATTCTCCTAGTCAACCTTGTATTACTTATTAAAAAAAAGCTTGTTAGACCTACCAATAGTACAACGCATAAGGCTCTCATCATTGATCCAAGATCTGTTTCGAGCTTATTTATAGGGAAATGAACTGAGGGAGTTCATGACTTTTGCTTATTTCATGCCTCATTAAACAATAGCAGGACATTTTTTAGCCACATTCATATCGTGAAGTATTGTTGCAGTTCAATTGCACTGAGTAGGTGTGAAAGTGGTAAAAAGATTTCACAGATGTTCAATTAGCTTTGAGTGCCTTTATTCGCACGTATCCATTCATGACTTTCCACGTGCGTTCATTTTTAGCGCACCGCGTTTTTATTGCTGTGTACTACAAAACGAAGTGAACTGTTAGAATCAATTTTTCATTTCAATCTTAATGTACCTTCTAGCAGGTTGTAAGAAAGATAACTCAAATTTACTTGCTAGTAACTTTGATTTTTCCTCAACATATTGATGACCATGCAGATTTTCAACTGTCTGTCATCTTAGACCAAAGCCTTTTTCGAACCAGTCAACATTATTCAAATCTAATCACGCATTCTACCAACTTGAGTATGACTACAGTAGCTCTGCAGCTGACAAGAAAGATGAATATCATTTCCAGATTTAGAGCAAAGAAAAAGTTTTGGAGTGAGTTTATTCCGATACAATGTTAATTCAATGAACTTCAAGCGCCTCAAGATACCAAGTATGTCAAGCGGTCGTCCATGTGTTAAACTTTGATAGCATCTGGTCTCCACTACTGCTTTTAGCGCAAGCGAGTTTGAACGAAAGGTAAGGAATTGTGAATCAGTGATAAATACTCACTTTCAAGAACATTACTTTGTGGTGCCCATACTAACAAGGGAACCGTGTCGAGTCGAAGTGGCCTTTCCAGATGAGACCCATACTGCTTTAAAGAGTATTAAGCGGTGATTTCCAACCTGCCTTCCAAATCTGCCAAGCGCCTCTGGACGCCGAGTTATGACCTTTCTTCGGAACGAAAAATGAATGCAGAATTCAGGTAAAATTGATTGTTACAATCTTTCCAGTGCTCAGATAAAGCAATGTTAAGTATTAGCATAATAAATAAAATGTATCCATTTCAAAAACAGCTCTGATACTTGACACTGGACCATTTGAGCAAATTTGTGCAATTTTGCTTCAGTTTTGCGTTCAATTTTTTGACCTGAAAAACGAGCATAACTCGGCGTCCAGAGGCGCTTGGCAGATTTGGAAAGCAGATTTGGAATCACCAATTAATACTCTTCAAAGCAGTATGGGTCACATCTGGAAAGGCCACTTCGACTCGACACGGTTCCCTTGTAAGTAAAATTTATTCGTGTAAGTAAAGAGTTCGATTTTCAATATACAGGAGAGAAGATCAAGAAACTATTACATAATAACAACTATATGTTCTTACCAATCTTAGGAGAGCCAGGTAGCGTGAAGTGAGCAGTAAAACACTAAACGAAATGGAAAAAAACAATGTTATGCTATAGGAAACAAACTTCTTGCGTGGTGTAAATTCAGCTTAGTAATATTTCACTGAGTTTCAGAAAAATCTCTACTCAAACGTATGTGAGATTGCACCTTTTCTGAGGAAAATATCAGCACCTCCTAATTTTCTGCACTTCACATTTCTGCATAACCGATACAGTATATGAAGGAAGGGTTTTGAAACTAAAAGAAGCAAACTCTTTTGTTCCGGTTGGAAAAGAATTATACAGATTATTAAATGTCTTTCACTCTCTGGTAAATGAATTTTCACAAACTGGATTATTTCAGCCAGTTCTCGTGTAGTTCAGCACTGAAGCAGCTACATATTTAGCTATATCTAAATTTTACAAAAGTATTTTAGTGCAGCTGGGAGATCATCCATTTATCGGTTTTCAAGCTGTTGTCAGATTTGACACAAAAATTCTTGCACCGTTGTCCATATCAGGAATTAATTGTTTCCAGACATTCATTTTCCTGCGAAAAATCTTCATGAGACATTCAAGCAAAACAATTTTAAACGGCTCAAAGAATATCACCTGTTTTTGCACCGCGCGCTTGCAAAAACTGATGACATCTTGCTGCTGACATCCATAAAAGAGCGGCTCAATCTTTCTGCTAATAAACATCGATAAGCATTATTCAATATAGTTACTTTTCTCATAGATTGGGTCGGTCCGAAAGTGCCGTTTTTAGACCCATGTTCAAACCACTTACAAGGAAAGCTTGCTTAGTCAAAGTGGCCTTTTTAGACTGGGATGTATACTGTATTGAAGGGCATAAAATGCTGATTCCAAATTCCAAATACGCCTTCCCTGCAAAACGTTTATTGACGAGGAGTTATGAGCGTTTTTGCTAAAAATTGACTGTGCATTTTGAAAAAAATGAGTTCCCAAAAACTTATTAGCCCTCAAATAATGCAACCAAGTGTGATATATTTTTTATTTTGAAGTTTTTTGAATAAAGTTTTCTGATAATTATCACTGCTCTATCGAAGAGCCCGCAGAAGTATCACTATTTTTGTCCTACTTGCACATTCAGTTTTGCTCCAATAAGCGCGTATAACTCCGTCCATAAACGTTCTGCAGATAAGGAAGGCATTTGGAATCAGCATTTTACACTCTCCAATATGGTATACATTCCCATCTCAAAAGGTCACTTCGATTGAACATGCATCGCTTGTTAGAATTAAGGTAAACAGAGGCTCTGAGCAGCTTTCTATGCAGAATTTCTATGTTTTTATTTAGAGTCTTTTGATGTCTGTTCGAATAATCGTCAGAATGTCCAACCTATGTTACCCCTCGAGTTTGGCTATTTTTTAGAATTTCTATTTTTAACCTTTGGAATAGCTTTGACACACTTGATTAGAACAAACAAAATGCAATATAACCAACTATTTTGGCCTCTTCACCTAGCTTTACAGTATTTCTTAAAATAATTTTTTCGAAAGCCATTACTTTTGCGAGGTCATGAAATACACAACCGCTTCAAGCACTAATTATTTCTAAATTAAAGCTTCAAAAACAGATTATAACTTAGCACTGATTTTAGCAAGCAAATGTTTAGCAGTTCCAAATAAATTCGGATTTTCTGGGTACATCCTGGGACGCGTTCAAAAACAAGAAATATATTGATTTTATTCTCGAATACTGTGCAAATTAGGAAGGAAAGGGATCTATTAGAAAGAGGGGAAGAAGGTGCATAGAATGAGCGGTTGCACGCCGTTTATTGTTCTGTGAGATTGGGATGCCCGAATTTAGAAGTTGATAGCTTAAAAATTAGCAAATTCAGGATGGGTAAAAACCATGGGTTGAAGGTTCTGAGGATTATTCAAGCGGGCATCAAAGAAGTCTCAGTAAAAACGTTGGAAAGGAGAATAAATTTCGCATGGAACGCTGCTTGTCCACCATTACTCTGAGTGCTTTAAGCATAGGTCTGGAAAACGGCACAAATTCGGACCGAGCTAATACATTGCCGTATCGATCCTCGTGCTGTTTTTGTAAAATGCCATAAGACGGCAAGCAGCTTAACGTCAAATTCAAAACAATTGACTCTATCTTATATGTAACATCTTGCATTAGGTTTTTTCCTAGATTTGCATTCCACTTTTAGCTTCGATATAAGCATTCGACTTTTACGACTTTTTACGCGCGATAATTTCCGGTATGACGCTGCTTCGGATTAGATTGATTTGACTCCTTTGGAAAGAGAAAATCATGCGCTCCCTAGCAGTTCTGCACAGCGCACTATTAATACTCTGTCAGATCTTGGCTCACGTTGCAAAGACCCAAGCTTTGTGATTTTCTATAGAATTTTTATACTTTTTCTCCCGTATCTGGAAGTTTGGCCATACTCAACTGTTAGAGTAAATGGATTCTGGATTACAAAATCGTCTTCGTCGGAGGCCTGAAAGTAGATTGCAGTGTTATCTGTGGGACGAGACCGCCAAACGCCTCCTCGCCTGCCGAGTCTCGACCACGCTCCGCACTCATCGTAAAGGCGCATGTCGATGATAAACAACCTTTGTCCACCGTGGTGTTAGTGAGAGTCAGTAGAGTCAGTACTTAGTCGCACCGAAGAGACAGACTACACTGAGTGCTGTCCTATGATCGACAATTATATATGTGCAGACTATCGCTTACAGATCGTTAAGATAGGCTGTTATTGATACGCATTCACTTTTGTTGTTCATGCTAGGATTTCGAAGGGAAATCCACGCTGCCTCAACGGTTTTCCTCACTGTAATCTCTCCTCGTATGACAAAATAGTGCACTTAACGTCAAATTCACCGCCGTTGTGCGTTGCTATTCTGTGCCTTAACGGTGACATTGCATTTGCTCGTCTTTTTGCCGCTAGATGCTCCTTAAGTCTAACATTCAACAATCCACCCGTTTGTCTGATATCTGTCGCCTTGCAGTTCAAGCACTCCCAATTCATACACTAATCCTACGTTCGCGCAATCACCTACTTTTCCGTATGAGCAGACAATACATCGCTCTGATAGACATTCTGCGTCATAGAGCCTGTTCCCTGCCAACTGCTTCTTGATGTTCTCTTTCGGAATGTTCACAAGCATAACATCATTTTGAAGTTGTGCCCGCTTTATACATTGTTTAATTGCTGCACTAAATTTATTGGAAATGAAAGGCATACACAAGGGCACCTTGTTATCCTGAGCGTGGCTATTGTTCACAAACTTGGAAGCGCAGCTTAAACGTTGTGGCAAGTAACCATTGCTACGCGCAATTTGTGTAGCCAGTCTTACGGATCGAGTCGTTCTTGCTCACCTGTGCATACACCACTTATAGCAGGTCGATACATATTGCGCACAACGGCTCGTTTCACTGTGATTGGGTGCGCTGAATTGGAATGCAGCAGTATATTCTTTGAACTTTCCTTTCGGTAGCTTTTTATGCGAATGGTATCACCGGATAGATTTATCCGGGTATTTAGAAAAAGCCATCAATTTTTCGGGGTTTCTCTTGTAAGCGTTATTTACCGCGACTGCTGGTTTAGGATTCGGAAGCATTCGTCCATTTCGGACTGCGTCGACGTTATAACGCAGCAGTCG